AATTCAAAGTCGGCTCTGGCGTAATCACGGATGTGTTTGACACACCCAGCAGAATTGTTCTTGGGAATTTTTAGGAAAAAATACAAGGCTAAATGGTCACTAAGACCTGGAAGATAAGAGATCGGCTCTACGAGGTGTGTGTCTCTCCTACTCGTCTGTCGTTTTTAGCGCTTTTAACCCCTAAACAAAAGCTACGAGGTCCTTAGACGTAGTTAAAATAAGATCAAGAACGTTGGCTGCTGAGGACGTAATTCTCGTGGGCTCGGTTACTAATTGCGAAAGATTAAAATTTGCACAGAGATTTAGGAAATCGCTGCTTTCAGAAGAATAAGGCGCGCAAATAGGAATATCTTGTGACCAGTTAATATTTTGGTAGTTAAAATCGCCAAAAATAAATAGCTGCGAGTTGGGAAACCTTGATACAATCCTGCTAAGTGTGTCATGTAATAACTCCACAAAATTCATAGTAAAGGTAGGTGGGCGGTAACATGCACAGACAACAATGTTTCTGTGACTTAGTTGAAAACGTACACATACAGATTCTAAGCTAGATGCTAAGTTAATATGAGATGACTCAATGGAATCAGCAACTGCAACTAGCGCGCCTCCGCCCGTCCGCGAATCCCTATGATGCCGATAAACTTTGTACTGCTTATCACAAAAAAAAAGTTCATCGTTACGTATTTTACTAGAGAGCCATGTTTCGGTCAACACAATGATGTCGGCAGAAGCAGAATCAAGAGCAGAGCACAATTCATCGCGTTTCTTTATTACGCTTCGGATATTTGTAAAGAAAACAGAAACATTTTTCACCGTCGAATCTTTGGCTGGAAGAGTGCACGATTGTTATGAGGTTGCTGATTCTTGCACGTGTTGCGGTTGGAGTGACTCGGCACCTCTATTAGTAGCACTGGTAGCACTAGAAATTTCATAAACTTCGTCGCTCGTACTGCAGTAGGCGTAACATTTCTTGTTTAGGTGAAGCCTGTTGTACCTTATCTTAAATATACTATCGGGACTCTGAGATTTTGCGAAATCAAACAATATCTTGCGCGCATAACGTGTGGCTGGTGCGAAGTCTTCATTGACGGAGACGTTCCATGTTTTAGTTTAGCTTTTGCTAAGAGGATGCTCTCTTTAGTTTTGGATGACACAAATTTTACTATTACTGGTCGACACTTATTTTGAGAAAACGTCCCAAGTCGGTGCGCGCGAGTGATTCCCTCATCAGAAATGCTCAGCTCAGAGGCATTAGAAAGCAGCGAGTGTACTTTTTGCTCAGATTGGGCCCAGGTCTCTGAGGGCGAGTCATCTATGCCATGAACAATTAGATTGTCTCGCCGAGACCGATCTTCAAGGTCGTCAAGTCTAGCACGCAAGAATGCATTTTCTTTTTTAACTTCTAGAACCTGATGTGTAGTGCGTACTTCATAATCCAGTCTATCAAGAGCATTAGTCTTAGTTTCCACATTCTGGAGTCTGTTAGAGATGTCAGTGGTTTTGTCTTCCAACTGCTGTTGATTTGTTTTGATTTCATTTACAACCATTACTAGTTTAGACTGACCATCTTGAAGCAGTTTGCACATTTCGTCAAGCTGCTTGTTACGCGTATCAGGACCGTTGTTTACCTCGACGATCCCCGTATAGCATCAGCAGTTTTACAACATCTATATTCTGACCGACGATCGAGAGCAACTTCCGTGGGCATGGGAACACCAAAAGAAAAACGTCGCTTGATTTTTCAGTGTACAAAGAATCGATGTTACTAACCGCGTACAGAAGAAGCGAAAAACGTTAGGCGTCCGCATTGTATGGTTGTTCCCATGCCCAGGGAAAGCGTTGGCAATGGGCCGGTCCCTCTTATCGTGTGGCGCCGCTGATGTCGCTGATGATGAGGCTTGCCTCTCGAACGTTTTTGGCAGGATGGTGGGCGTGTCCGGTGGGAGACGAAGCGACGTGTTCTTGTTGATGACTGGCAGTTTACCCGCCGCTGTGGCAAGTTTTGCGAGTAGATCAGCAGAACTTGAATCCACTGCTGGGAGGAGGCATTTGCTGAACATCAACTGCGTACAGAAGAAGGAAAAAACGTTAGCCGTCCGCGTCGTATGGTTGTTCCCATGCCCAGGACTGGAGGCCGTACATCTGCGCGCTGTGCAAAAAGAAATCTTCGAAAGGAACGCGAATATCTTTTCACCGGTAAGTTCGTGGATTCTTGAAGTTTATGAAACTGCTCTGATGATAGAATTATATTCGTGAAATCGTAGGCAGTTGGTAACCATGTGTGGGACCCCGAGGGTCCGCCTGCATGCTCCGCCGCTTGTGGCAGCCAGAATGCATGGGAAAATGGCGGACCTTTTTCTCTAGAGTTAGTATGTATGACCTCTATGGTTCTTTCTGAAATATGAAACTGAATATAAACGCGCAAGCAAATGAAAAGAAGCAATCAAGCCACGAAAGGCAGGGCTGGCTCACTTGTTCTAGCAGAAGCATAGCCGCGGCATTCCTTTCGCTGACCAATGCATGTTGAAATCAATCGCTCTCAAGCTAGCATCTGGTACCTAGGCAAATTTTTCGTTAACCCTAAGTTGTTACCGCCTGTAAGGTTGGATATTTCAAACCTATTTAAAGGGATACTGACGCCCCCCAAATTTTTTTTTCCTTTTCTGTCAGGCGATTTATTATGGTGTCGGAATACTACCCAATTAATATTTTGCTGCAGAGTCACGTGTTTTTTTAATAAAGCCAGAAAAAGTAACTGCTTGAAACCGAAACCGAAACTCCCGCATCGCACGGAGAAGTGGAGAGGATAGAGTGAGATTCCTAAATTGCAAGATGACGTTCGCGAAAAATTAGAAGCGCCGACTACAGTTTGCGAGATTGAGACGGCCATTGATGAACTAACTACAGGAAAAACACCCGGCCCGGACGGCCTCTGTGCGGAATTTTATAAGGTGTCGAAAAAAAAGGAAGCTGCCGCTTCGTATCAGGTGATAACGGAGGCCTATTGTAAGCGTGTTTTGCCGCCCTATTTTGAGGACACACTATCCTGATCCCAAAGGTTGACGACCCCGTAAGGCTTTTGTCAGTCGACTCCTACAGGCCAATAAGCCTGACAAATATTGACTATAAAAGTTTTATAAAAGTCCAGGCCAGGCGTTTACAAAATGTCATAACTAGTCTTGTGAGACCGCATCAGACATTCGGTATTAAAGGGCGCACTATTTTTACCAATATTCATGTAGCAAGAAGCATTCCGGAATGTTGCGATGATCTCGGTTGCCGTGTGGCCATGTTGCAGTTAGACCTGGAGAAGGCTTTCGAGCGGGTATCGCATAAGGTTGTTTTTAGTATTTTGGAGCACGCAAATTTCGGGTCTGCAATCTTAGACGGGTTAAAAATAGCGTACGCCAGTTGTACGACATCCATAATTGTAAATAAGAAAGCTAGTGAAAGTGTACCTGTCCTTTCGTCTGTAAGGCAGGGCTGTCCACTGTCCCCCTTGCTATTTGCAATGTGCTTAAACCTTCACAATGTAAACATTGGTGGGTTTAGGCTGGACTCTTGCGAGGTAAAAGTTATGTCCTACGCGTATGGCGTTGCGGTTTTCTGCGTCGATCAAGACAGCGTGCGTGAGGCGGTCCGTGTTGCTTCTTTGTTTTGTAAGAATACGGGGAGTGTTATTAACCGGGGGAAATGCGCCAGTTTCTGGCACGGAAACTGGGACTCCAAGCCGGAAGTTTTTTTAAACGTTCAGTGAACAGCCTTGCCCGCAAAGTATCTTGGTATGCCGCTCGAGCACTACCGAGACTGCACGCAACTGTGGAGTGAACAAACAGAAAGAGTGAAGGCCAAAGCGGAGGGTTGGAAGGGTAGAGACTTGTCTACGTTTGGGCGCGCGCTACAGTTTGTAAGTTATTTTTTATCGCAAAAATTTGGTCTATGCTGCAAGTGCTGTCAATGTCGCGGCTCAACGTGCAGAGGCTGCGCAGAGTGTTCGCCATTTTTATTTGGAGTTTGAGCTGGGAGCGTTCTGCTCGCACAAACGTCTTTTGATTTGTTCGCAATGGAGGTCTGGGATTGTCCTATCTGTTTATGCGGCAAATAGTGTCTCGTTTTGTGTTCTCTCGTGACCAGCAAGCTTCCTTTTTACGCACAGTCATGCAGGTGCGACTGCGAAATTCGTTATCTGAGTACGTAGTGTCGACCGGTGACGGTTACTGCGCCAGTATTCAGGGTTTCCTCCGTGAAGTGGTACTTTCAGTTAGTTTTCTAGCGGTACGCTTTTCTATGGAGTATAGTTTCGTGCCTCGGAAACGACTGTATAAAGATCTAGCAGACGTTTTGTTGCCCACCCCTCTTTGCAGCTCATTGAACTGGTTGAGCTCAGGGCAGGATGTATTTAAAAGGGTAAAGAGCATGCCGGTCAAACCATCAACGAAAACTTTTTTCTTTAAACTACACTGCCGCGCGCTCCCGGTTAAACCGTGGCTCGAAGCGAAAGATATTTTTGTGCCGTGGTTTGTAAATTGTTTTCTTTGTAAGGTTCCCGAGTCTATCGAGCATGTGTTCATCGACTGTTGGGACGTTGCGTTCCCGTGGAATGTTCTTCTGGGAACGCAGAAGGAAGACATGCCTCTAACTGCGTATGGGATTCGTTTCTTGCCGCTAGAGAGCGAAGGTGGCATCCCGCACGATATGTTTATACTCCTCGGCCTCCACAGCCTGTGGAGGACTAGGATGGGTGTACATAACGCTGATGTAAGTGTGCGCCCTGCGAGAGATTATTTCATTGAAAACGTTGTCCATATTCAAGAGGTATTCAGCGCACTGCCTGAACCGCCTGAATTGTTGCAAATACTTGATGATTTGGTCTCGTTGAACCGCTTTTAAATGTACTCGCGGCAGCTGCGCTTGGCTGACGCGTTTTAACATTTTGTGTATGTGGTTGCATCCCTTGTGTTGCTTGTGTCAAAACAGGCAATAAAGATTTTAAAAAAAAAGCCTGGCTAGATCAGTTGGTAGAGCGCTCCACTAAAAATGGAGAGGTCCCGGGTTCGATACCTGAACCAGGCGGATTTCGTCATAGAAACCAAGGGCACTGCCGGGGGGCGCGGCCCTTGGTGTCTATGAAGTGGACACAAACTTTTACAATGTACGTTTAGCGAGTTTTTTTTTCGAAGCAGCAATTAGGATTTTTTAGCGCTCATTACAGAATTTGATGTTACTGATAATCAGACTAACACTAGCACGCGGCTTAGGTTGCTTTATTTCTGTTTTTTAGCCGATCTCGAGCGCGAGCGCAGCGCTTCCATTTGTCCTTCGGCTGCGCGTCAAGTCAGCAACTTTCAAACTTCAAAATCTACTACAAGAGAACACACACAGTTTTTTTGTTGTCCTTTTGGTTTGTGGGTGTAGTGATTATGTTTAGGGATGTCCTCTATTCAGAGATGGCACCATCTACATTGCGCCGATTGCATGTGTCGCGTGTTGTACAAAACCACGGGCCACGTGGCGGCAAGAGATGATTCGGTCACCAAAAATACGATAAATAAATCTGCTCGAGGCGCTCGCCTCAGATCTGCCATCGTCACCGTCGGGATCTGTTGGTTGTCGTTCTCATCGGCAGGCTTTAGGCCGGAGCCGGCCGGAACCTTGCACGTAAGCGCTCATCTGGCACAGTCTCCGTTCACAGTGAGGTCCAAGGCAAGCGTAGGCAAGGCTTGTATGACCTCGCACGTATCTTTTGGAAAGATCGCACAGGAGAATACAAAAGTGGGGTTTAGGAATTTAGTGATCAAAGACAACAAAGAGTCAATTCCAAAGGCAAATAAAGCACACCTGCAGTTTATTGCTGTTATAAAATCAACGCGCATGCAAAAATCTAAAAAATAAACTAAAACATCAAACGAAACATTATTAACATACTAGACATAGTATTTTCATTGCATGAGCTCCATGAATGTCATACGCTTTCAAATGTGACTTTTCGTTCTGTGGTTCTGGAGACGAACTCCCTCATAACTTGCACTAGATCGAGGGCAGCAGTTCTCTTTTGGTGAACATAGTATTTTTTATTAAAATATCACTTGTTGCTATTTTTCACACAAAATAGAGATAGTGCTATTTTTCATTCCAATTTCAGTTGTTGCTATTTTTCAATAAAAACGACGATTCTGCTATTTTTCACTATAAACGGAGATCGTGCTTTCTTTACTTCAAATATCAGTTCTAGCTATTTTTCACACAAAATGGATATACTGCTATTTTTCATTCAAATATCAGTTGTTGCTATTTTTTCAATAAAAACGACGATTCTGCTATTTTTCACTATAAACGGAGATCGTGCTTTCTTTACTTCAAATATCAGTTCTAGCTATTTTTCACACAAAATGGATATACTGCTATTTTTCATTCAAATATCAGTTGTTGCTATTTTTTCAATAAAAACGACGATTCTGCTATTTTTCACTATAAACGGAGATCGTGCTTTCTTTACTTCAAATATCAGTTCTAGCTATTTTTCACACAAAATGGATATACTGCTATTTTTCATTCAAATATCAGTTGTTGCTATTTTTTCAATAAAAACGATGATTCTGCTATTTTTCACTATAAACGGAGATCGTGCTTTCTTTACTTCAAATATCAGTTCTAGCTATTTTTCACACAAAATGGATATACTGCTATTTTTCATTCAAATATCAGTTGTTGCTATTTTTCAATAAAAACGACGATTCTGCTATTTTTCACTATAAACGGAGATCGTGCTTTCTTTACTTCAAATATCAGTTCTAGCTATTTTTCACACAAAATAGAGATAGTGCTATTTTTCATTCCAATTTCAGTTGTTGCTATTTTTCAATAAAAACGACGATTCTGCTATTTTTCACTATAAACGGAGATCGTGCTTTCTTTACTTCAAATATCAGTTCTAGCTATTTTTCACACAAAATGGATATACTGCTATTTTTCATTCAAATATCAGTTGTTGCTATTTTTTCAATAAAAACGACGATTCTGCTATTTTTCACTATAAACGGAGATCGTGCTTTCTTTACTTCAAATATCAGTTCTAGCTATTTTTCACACAAAATGGATATACTGCTATTTTTCATTCAAATATCAGTTGTTGCTATTTTTTCAATAAAAACGACGATTCTGCTATTTTTCACTATAAACGGAGATCGTGCTTTCTTTACTTCAAATATCAGTTCTAGCTATTTTTCACACAAAATGGATATACTGCTATTTTTCATTCAAATATCAGTTGTTGCTATTTTTCAATAAAAACGACGATTCTGCTATTTTTCACTATAAACGGAGATCGTGCTTTCTTTACTTCAAATATCAGTTCTAGCTATTTTTCACACAAAATGGATATACTGCTATTTTTCATTCAAATATCAGTTGTTGCTATTTTTCAATAAAAACGACGATTCTGCTATTTTTCACTATAAACGGAGATCGTGCTTTCTTTACTTCAAATATCAGTTCTAGCTATTTTTCACACAAAATGGATATACTGCTATTTTTCATTCAAATATCAGTTGTTGCTATTTTTCAATAAAAACGACGATTCTGCTATTTTTCACTATAAACGGAGATCGTGCTTTCTTTACTTCAAATATCAGTTCTAGCTATTTTTCACACAAAATGGATATACTGCTATTTTTCATTCAAATATCAGTTGTTGCTATTTTTCAATAAAAACGACGATTCTGCTATTTTTCACTATAAACGGAGATCGTGCTTTCTTTACTTCAAATATCAGTTCTAGCTATTTTTCACACAAAATGGATATACTGCTATTTTTCATTCAAATATCAGTTGTTGCTATTTTTCAATAAAAACGACGATTCTGCTATTTTTCACTATAAACGGAGATCGTGCTTTCTTTACTTCAAATATCAGTTCTAGCTATTTTTCACACAAAATGGATATACTGCTATTTTTCATTCAAATATCAGTTGTTGCTATTTTTCAATAAAAACGACGATTCTGCTATTTTTCACTATAAACGGAGATCGTGCTTTCTTTACTTCAAATATCAGTTCTAGCTATTTTTCACACAAAATGGATATACTGCTATTTTTCATTCAAATATCAGTTGTTGCTATTTTTCAATAAAAACGACGATTCTGCTATTTTTCACTATAAACGGAGATCGTGCTTTCTTTACTTCAAATATCAGTTCTAGCTATTTTTCACACAAAATGGATATACTGCTATTTTTCATTCAAATATCAGTTGTTGCTATTTTTCAATAAAAACGACGATTCTGCTATTTTTCACTATAAACGGAGATCGTGCTTTCTTTACTTCAAATATCAGTTCTAGCTATTTTTCACACAAAATGGATATACTGCTATTTTTCATTCAAATATCAGTTGTTGCTATTTTTTCAATAAAAACGAAGATTGTGCTATTCTTCACTGTAAACGGAGATCGTGCTTTCTTTAATTAAAAAATCAGTTGTAGCTATTTTTCACACAAAACGGAGATAGTGCTATTTTTCATTCAAATATCAGCTGTCGCTATTTTTCACTGAACACGGAGATCGTGCTATTTTACATACGTATATTAGTTGTTGCGATTTTTCACTCAAACAAACATCGTGCCAGTTTTCATTCAAATATCACTTCTAGGTAGTTTTCATCCAAGACGAAGATCGTGCTATTTTTTGTTCAAATATAGCATGTTTCTACTTTTCGCTAAAAACTGTGATCGTGCTATTTTTAATTCGAATATCAGAAGTCGGTACTTTTAACTAAAAACGGAAGTCGTGCTATTTTTTTATTCGAGTATCACTTGTTGCTATTTCTAGTAAAAAGACAGATAGTGCTGTTCTGCATTCAAATATCAGCAGTTGCTATTTTACACTGAAGACGGAGATTGTTCTGTATTTCTTTCAAATATAGTTGTTGCTGTTTTCACTAAAAGCACAGATCGTGCTATTTTTTATTCAAATAGCAGTTATTAAGAGTTTTTAATAAAAATGGAGATCGTGCTCTTTTTCATTTGAATATCAGTTGTTGCTAGTTTTTATTAAAAACAGAAATCGTGTTAGTTATTATTCAAATATCAGAGATATTTTGAATAAATATGGAGATCGTGCTTTTCTCATTAAAGTACCAGTTCTTGCTATTTTCACAGAAAATGAAGTTTGTGGGGTTTTTTTTCAAATATCGGTTGTTGCTATTCCTCGTTAAAAATTGAGATCGTGATATTTTTTATTCTAGAATAAGTTGTTCCTATTTTTAATTAGAAATGGAGATCGAGCTATTTTTCATTCATATCACATTTCCTAGTTTTCATTCAAACACAGATCGTGCTATTTTTCATTCAAATATCAGTTGTTGCAATTTTTAACTCAATACATAGATCGTGTTTTTTTTATTTAAATATCAGTTGTTACTATTTTTTACTAAAAGAGAGATCGCGCTCTTTTTAATTCAAATATCAATTCTTGCTCGTTTTGCTTATATATTACATCGTACTATTGTTCATTCAAATATCAGTTGTTGCTATTTTCCACTCAAAATGCAGATCATTTTATTTTTCCTTCCAATATCAGTCGTCTGTATTTTTCACTAAAACAGAGATTGCGCTATATTTCATTGAAATGTCAGTTGCTGATATTTCTCACTAAAAACGGAGATCGTGCTATTTTCTTTAAAATATCAATTGTTGCTATTTTTCACTAAAAACAGAGATCGTGCAATTTTCAATTCAAATATCAGTGGTTTCTATCTTTAAATAAAAAAAGTAGATCGTGCTATTTTTTTTTCAAGTGTCTGTTGATCCTATGTTTCGCTAAAAACGGAGAAGATAATTTTTCATACAAATGACGGTTGTTTGCTATTTCTGACGAAAAATAGAGATCGTGTCATTTTTCCTTGAAACATCATTTGTTGCTATTTCTCACTCAAAACAGAGATTGTGCTATTTTTCTTTCAAATATCAGTGATTGCTATTTCTCACTAAAAACTGAGATCGTGTCATCCAAATTGCCCATTCAAATATCAGCTGTTGCTGTATTCAACTAAAAATGGAGGTCGTGCCATTTTTGTTCA